TCACCACCCTTGCAGCCGGCTTCCACCAGCTTGTCACCACAGGGAGGGGTCTTGTGTTGTTGGTCTGGGGGAAAGAGACCCCTGTGTTGTTGGTCTGGGGAGAGAGGGTCCCTGTGTTGTTGGTGGGGGAAGGGGGTCTCGGTTCTCTTGGTCTGGGGGAGGGGAGCCTGTGCTGTTGGCTGAAGTGGTCCAGAATCGAGTCTGCACCTCATTCAGCCGGAAGGAGGGTGGAGGGAGGGAGTGTTCTTGGTTCCAATACCACAGACCCTCACCTATCTTACCAAATCTTCCTAAATGTTCTTGCACGGCTTTTCATTTCCTGTTCACCCTTTGGACCATTTCCAGAAGTGTTCAGTATTTTTTCGGTTCTGTTTACTGGTTTTCACGGGCTTTATGGGAAGGCAGGTCTGTGGCACCCCCTTGTGCCGGATGTCTATGTCTGAAGGCAGAGATCTGTTTTGTTTTGACTTTTTTTCTCCATCTCATGGGAGAAAATGCACAAAACCTTACGTGGAGCTCGGCACAGAGTAGAGGCTCAAGAAACAGTTCTTAAGTGAACGAGCCCCAGAAAACAACGTGAGCCTTTCTCTCCACTGTCTTGTTGAACTTTCCCTGACAAGTGCTTACCCTCCCTGCCCAGGATGAAAACTCAGGGAGACCCTTCAGATGTCTCAGTCAATATCTGAAAATAAGAAGGTCCCCATCCTCCCTCCTTGGGGTGTTAATGGTATAGTCCAGTCTATAATTACAGGACTCCGACTTTCACTGAAACTGCACTTCCCCGACCCCCTGCCCCAGATCTAGACCTGGAACGGGGGGGGGGGGGGTCGTGATCAATTTCTCTGTCTTCCTCTCTAGGTCACAAGCTGCCATTTCTTTCTCTTTTTTTTTAATTATTTAAAAATTTTTTATTTCTTTTTGAAAGAGAGAGAGAGCGTAAGCAGGGAGGGGCCGAGAGAGAGGGAGGCACAGAATCCGAAGCAGGCTCCAGGCTCCAGCTGTCAGCACAGAGCCCGACGTGGGGCTCGAACTCATGAACCACGAGATCATGACCTGAGCCCATGACCTGAGCCAAAGTCGGATGCTTAATTGACTGAACCACCCAGGTGCCCCTCAAGCTGCCGTTTCTGTCTCTTGTCCCTGCTGGATCAGCCCCGAGGGTGATGGGTGTATTTGTCTCCTACGGCTTCTGTACCAAGTTATCACAAGCTCTAGTGGCTTTAACAACACACAGTTATTCTGTATAGTTTTGGAGGCCAGAAGTCCAAAACCAGTCTCGCTGGGCTAACGTCAAGGCAAGGGTAGGCTGGCTCCTTCTGGAGCCGCCAGGGGAGAATCCACACATGGCTGCTCTCAGCTTCCAGAGCTGTGGTCCCAGCATCCCTTGGCTAATGACCCCTCCCTCCGTCTCCAAAGCCAGGAGCCTCGGTAGCATCAGACTTTGGTCACATTCCTGCTTCTCCATCAGCCCTCCCTCCGCCTCCCTCTCATAGGACTCTTGAGGTTACCCTGAGAGTCCCCCCCACCCCCACACCCCAATCATCCAGGATCCTCTCCCCGGCTCAAGATCCTTACTCAGTCACATCTGTGAAGTCCCTTTGTCAGATGAGGGAACATTCGCAGGGTCCTGGGATTAAGACCCGGATGTCTTTGGGCCATTAATCAGCCTGCCACATGGGATCAGGATCTAAGGACTGAGAGTCTTTCGTGGCTGGTTCTGCTGTGGCCTGTCAGTGACCAATGCTGACTTTTGCCTCCTGTGGGCAGCTTTTGAGGGACCTCCGTGGGAACCCCAGCTGCAGTCCCCCTGGTGTGCCTGATGCTTGTCCCAACCTGCAGATCTGATGTCCCTTCCTCCCAGGCCCTGCCATCCACCCTCAGCTGGGGTGCCCAAAGCTCCCAAGGGCCGTCTCAGTCAAGTCCCTTTCGGGGGGTCCTGTTTGGTCTCTGGGAATTTGGTGCATTTATGCTGCTAAGATTTGCCGCCCACCCCCGGCACGACGCCCTTGACTCGCCGTGTATGTGGCCCAGGCTCCAGGCTGAGGTCACATGGCACAGGGGTTATGGCCCGGGCCTGGTTCAGGTTTGCCTGGGCTTGAACCCCAGCCCTGCCACTTGCTAGCCATAGGCCCTTAGGAGAGCTATACTAGCCTTTTTTGTGCGTGACCTGGCACAGAATAAGCCCCTTGAAAAGCATAAACTAAACCAGCCACCTGGCCCCCCGAGCCCCAGGGGACACATGGTCTGCTTCATAAGGAGTCCCCTCCCACCTCTGCCTCTAGGCACCTCAGATTTGGGGTGGGGGTGGATCCCAACCCCGTGACTGCACCATTCTGAGGCTTTGAAGCCTCAGCTGAAACTGAGCCGGAAAGAGGAACCTTATGACATCCTGTCACACCAGGGTCTGGGGCAGGCGGAGGACAGGGAGGGGCCGTGGGGCGCTAGCCAAGGCCTGGCCGGCTAGGGCTCCGGGGTAGGCAACGGCTTCTGCCATGTTCCTCTTCTGGATCCACAACTTTCTTTTTTTTTTTTAAACGAAAACTTTTATTTTGAGATGAATGTAGATTCACATATATCCTATCAACTTTCTACATAGTAAAATTTCAAACCTTCCGGAAAGCCATAAGAAGGGCATAATGACACCCATATCCCCTTCACCTGCGTTCACCAATTCATATCTGGTTGAGTTCATGGTTTTTAATCTATTATCCGCAACTCTATAGACACTCATAGAAATGTAGAAATATGGACATGTTCGGTCCACTAGGCATTATATTTCTTTTTTTTTTAATTTTTATGTTTTGGGGCGCCTGGGTGGCGCAGTTGGTTGGGCGTCCGACTTCAGCCAGGTCACGATCTCGCGGTCCGGGAGTTCGAGCCCCGCGTCGGGCTCTGGGCTGATGGCTCAGAGCCTGGAGCCTGTTTCCGATTCTGTGTCTTCCTCTCTCTCTGCCCCTCCCCCGTTCATGCTCTGTCTCTCTCTGTCCCAAAAATAAATAAACGTTAAAAAAAAATTTTTTTTTAAATTTTTATGTTTTATTCATTTTGAGAGGGGAGGGGGAAGGGGCAGAGAAGAGAGAAGAGAGAGAGAATCTCTCTGCGCTGTCTGCAGGGAGCCTGACACGGGGCTCAAACTCACAAACCTCATGACCATGACCCGAGCCAAAATCAAGAGTCAGACGCTCAACTGACTGAGCCACCCAGGTGCCCCTAGGAATTATATTTCTAAAGACTCATATATAATGAACTTCTTTCTCTCTCTCTATATATATATGTTTATATATATGTGGGTATATATACACATATATGTTTATATATACACACAGATATATGTGTATATACATATATGTACACATATACACACACATACACATATGTATATGTGTGTATATGTACATACACATATATATGCTTATATATACACATATATGTGTATGATATGCATATATACAGGTGTGTATACACATATATACATATACACACATATATATATACATATATACATATATATGTGTGTATATATGTGTGTATATACATATATGTACATATATATGTTCATAGATGAATATATTTACATTGAATGAGTGTGTGTGTGGTTATATGCATTTTTCCCCCCAGCTCTGCCTGTGTACTAGTTCTAGAAGCAATAACAACTCCAGAATAGTAAGCATAACGAATACCAGCTCAATCCTGGTTAAACGCCACCCTCTGCCTCCTGAGGCAGCTGATTCCAGGGCTGGGGCAGGAGAAGTCTTAGACGAGCCTGAAACAGACTGGTAGAAAGGAAGTGTTCAGAGAATGATGGGGACTTGTCATCATTCTGGGGAGTCCTGCGAGGCAAGAGGACAAGGAGGCAGCTGGAAAGGGGTCCCACTGGTCAAATCTGGGATACTCTGAGCATTTCAAATAATTCGTTGTAGTGACGGATTGTCATCCATTGACTAGAACACCTACGCGTGACGTAACTACATGGATATAAACAAAGGAGGAAAAACTGTTTTACAGGAAAAAACAGTCTGGCTTCACGCTGATCCGTCCAGCTCCCATCCCGCACCCCGGGGCCCTTCCTCACTTTCCTCTTCTGGGTTTGTGTCTCCTGTCTTTCCTGGAGAGAACCTGGGTACTAAACAATACCATCGTATTTATCCATTTATGCTCCTTCCCACAATACTCACTCAGTTGTTCCAGAATTGCTGCACTGGTGCCACAGCCCATAACACACCTACTAAGCGAAGGTCAAGACTTATTTGCAGTTCTCTTTGACCTTAGGATCTCAATCGCACGGCCCGGCATTTGAACCGGAAGAGGCACCTTCCGGATTGGGTTTTGACGTACGTGTAGGAGTCTCCCGGGAAGACAAAGTGGAAGAGAGGACCCTGCAAAGGGACATGCATGTGCAAAAGGCCTGGGGAATGAAAGAGGGGTGTGTACCCCCCTACTAGGGCGGGGGCCCAGTGTTTGTTTACGGGGAAAGGAGATAACAAAGGGTAGGTCTGGAGAGGAGTGTGGTGGGGGATGGGGGTCATGGCTTGGAAGGGCCTTGAATGTCAGGCAAGGAGCTTGGGGTTGATGTGGCAGGCACTGGGGAGTCCTCAGGGGCACTGGGCTTTACAAAATGTTCAGGGCAGATCGGCAAGTTGGTGGGGGTGATTGGGACCATGAGATGCGATGCCCGAGCTGCCGGGGCGGCTTTGGGGTCACTTCTCTGGAAACCTCCGTATCTCGTCTGTGACTTGGGCCAAAGAGAGGATCCACTCCCGGGGCTCCCCGGGGACTCCCCAAGAGCCCTACCTGGCCTTTGGGGTCTGAGGCAGAGGCTGGGCCACTCACGCGCTCTCCGTGTTCTGTGACATGTCTGCTTCCTGTTTCTCCTCCCTCAGGGGAAGCCTCAAAAGAAAAACGCGCTCTCAAAACAAAGGAAGACGGGTCCTCGACTGCAGAGGAAGCAGGAAGCTCTGACCCTGCTCTGAGCCCAGCTGCCGGGGCCTGGGGACAGCGGGATGGAGTCCGTGGCCCTGTACAGCTTCCAGGCCACGGAGAGTGATGAGCTGGCCTTCAACAAGGGGGACACGCTCAAGGTAGGGTGGCTGGAATGCGCCGAATTGGTCACACATGCAATGGGGGGGGGG